CAAAGTCTCATCTAAATCTCAACTCAAAAGCTCCAAATCTCATAATCTAAATTGGGTATGGTGGTGGTGGTGTGCCGGAGTTGGTTCCTACTCATAGCCACTCTATAGGGTTTTCAAGGCTGTATGTAAATCTTTCTCCTGTGGAACAGCTGTAGTTTAGAACTGCTGACCTTGAGTTTAGCAGCCTGACTTGTAATTACTATGCTACCTGCTGCTGTTAAATGCTGTGGAGTTGGTTCTGACCCACAGCAGCCCTGTAAAGGGTTTCTAAGGAGTGGCTGGTGAGCTTGAACCACCGACTTTGTGGTTCAAACCAATTTTGCAGTCCAGAACATTAACCCACAGCAACACACCAGGGCTCCTTAAATCACATATGGATGAAGCTATTTATAATCTACTGAAGTACAACTCTTTGGATACAATTCCTAAGAATTAAGTTATCTGTCCCCAACATACAACGGTGGGGGCAAAAAAGGAGACATCCCAGCTTAAATGGGGAAAATGTTAAAATAAAATGGAGTCTGCTCCAAAGCAGTTTTGAAATCCAGCTGTGCAAACTCTATTACATGTCAAAGCATGGAAAAATCCTCTGTGGCTTTTGGCTCCACTCACTTATATTGCCCTTCTTTTAAAAGTGGCACATTTGCAGCTAGTAGTTGCATGAGTTTGATTCCTACCAGTAGAATTTTGGGGATACAACCATCTACTCAAATTTCTTACTCTTCCAATCCCTGTCCATCTAAACGGTCAGTGTTTCTGCTAAAATAAAATTCTCAAGAACATTGTGAACTTTGTATGAAATTCACAGGGATTTACTTATTAGACAGAAATCAAGTCCACAAATCTTTTCAAAATAATAGCTTCTTTATCTCTGGTTTCTGTTGAAGCTGAGGGATGATACTCTAAACTTCCTAGTTTGATTAGGGAATCCAGGAGTCACACCCTTGATGTCTTCTAAGAGCCCTTTTGTGATTGAGTATGCTGGTACTTTGATCAAGTCGTGGACACTTTGGTTTAACATTTTTTCTTTCAATTTATCTTTTCCTCTCATATTTTGTAATAAATAGCAAGAAGAAATCCAGTTGCATCTTCAAGACTTTGCTTGGAAATCTCCAGCTAAATATACAAGTTAATCATTTACAAGTTTAATTTTCCACATAGTTACAGGGCATATTCTGTTAAACTTTTTTTTTTTGCTATTTTATAACAAGGATCCCCCTTTCTCCAGTTTCCAAAAAGATGTGTTTCATTTCCTTCTATATCTCTTTTAATAGTTAAGATTTCTCTACCATGTTCCTCACTTCCTTCGGTCCTCACTAGCAGAAACCACTAGCATCGACTCTTCTGCTAGCAATCTGTTCAAGGTAATCATGCTCCTCAAATTTCTCCGTTTCTACTAAATCACAAATTCAAAAACTACTACCAATTTCTTCTACTATCTATTGTTGCCATCCACAAAATGTTTTCAAAATAATAGCTCTTTATGTCTGTCACTTTGAATACAAAGGTGTGCCTGACTCAGGCCGTGTGCATGGTATTTTCAATAACCTCATATGCATGTGAAACTTGGACAGTGAATACGGAAGACTGTAGAAGTGACACATTTGAGTTGTGGTGTTGAGGAGAATATTAAAAATAACACGGACTGCCAAAAGAACAAACCGATCTGTGTCGGAAGAAGTACAGCCAGAATACTCCTTGGAAGCCAGGAAGGCCAGACTTTGCTCTGAAGGATATCATATTTGGTAAAGTGGGGATTCAGAGAAAAAGAGGATGACCCCCAATGAGATGGAATGGCACAATGGGGGCAGCAACAGGTTCAAATGTAGTAAAGATTGTGAGGTTGGCACAGGACTGAGCAGTGCTTTATTTTGTTGTGCATTGGGTCCTATGAGTAGGCACTACTCATGGCACCTAACAACAACATTGTTGCCATTACATTTTAGCACAAATTAGTGGCTTAACAACAGAAATGTATCATGTCACTTTCTAAATGATTAGAGTGGCTGGTGGGCTTGAACCTCAGACCTTCACAGCTGAGCAAGTTAACCATTGTTGCCACCAGCACTCTTCATTTTGTCTACTGTTTTTTTGTGCCTTGAGTTGGTTCTGACTCATAGTGGCCCTGTATGAGGTTTCCATGGCTGTAAATCTTTAGGAGAGCAGAAAACCTCATCTTTCTCCCTCAGAGCAGCTGGTGGGTTTGAACTTCCAACCTTATGGTTACCAGTCCAGTACTTATCCTTCTGTGCCACACCAGGGCTCTACAAACCCTAAATCTCTACACAAGGCTTTAAACTCACTTACAAATGAAAACCCCCCTTTTTTCTCGAACATATGAAGTAAAAGGAGTACTACTGGCATAGTCAGCAGTTCGAAACTACCAGCGGCTCTGTGGGAGAAAGATGAGGCGTTTTGCCCCTGTAAAGATTTACAACCTCGGAAACCCTGTGCAGGGTCACTATGAGTCGGAACCAACTCTACAGTACTTAACAACAACTGGCACAGTGGGTTACACGTTGGGTTGCCTAATATAAAGGTCAGTAGTTCTAATCCACTAGCCACTCCAAGGGAGAAACATGAGGTTTTCTGCTTCCATAAAGATTTACAGCCTTGGTTCCAACTCACAACAACCTTGTATAGGGTTTCTGAAGAGTGGCTGGTGGGTTTGAACTACTGACCTTGTGGTTAGCAGTTCAGTGCTTATCCCACATGAGGACTCCAAAGGTGTATATAGAAAAAACAGTATATATATGAACTCAGTTTGGAAGAGAGTTGGTAGGCAACTGAAGTATTAAACATACATTGTGGAAAAGAGGCTGCCAACGGTCTCACCCTCAAATAGCAAGGCAATTTACTCATTAATCATGAACAAGCCTATGCTTCATTCTCTTTTCCACTGTATCCTAGATGACAGCGCATAAGTGGTGGCTGTGGCGGCTGTGTGGCGACTCACAGCAGTCCTGCATAGGCTTTACCCGAGCAGAAAGCCTCATCTTCTTCCTCCCCCAGAGTGACTGGTGGATTCCATCCACTAACCTGTGGCATACATGCACCCAGCTCATAATCCACTACACCAACAAGGCTCCTCTGAGAAAGCACAACTAGGTATACTTTTTTAAAAAGGAAAAGTTGCCCCATGATGATCAAACTTTGTGATCAGCTGATAAACTAAGCAGCTTCTAATTGTTACATTCTTTCTCCATGTCATACCTCCTCTGCCCCCAAGAGCAGGTGAAAGCCAAGTTATTTCAACATCACAGAAGGACAAACCTGCCAGGTTAAGCCTGTAAGTTAATTTCCCAAAAATGACAGTATTGGTCCTGGCCTTTAGTCTCAGGTAAACCAAGCCAACTGACTTAGAAAACAAAACACTGCAGCAATTACAATATTCTGAAACCTTGCCTACTGTCAAATTCTAGGCCACAAATTTTACTCAGAATGAACTGTGACTATATCAACTAGTCTCTTAATAAACATGACTTGAAAGTTCTATCGAGCACCTACCTACCTGCCAGGCACTGTGTTAAGTATTCTTATTTCTTATCATAAACTGTGTTGTTTAGTCCTGTCAGTTTTGACTCATAGCGACCCTGTATAGGGTTTTGGAGGAGCAGGTGGTGGGTTTGAACTGCCGACCTTGTGGTTCACAGTCCAGTACTCACCCTACAGCGCCATACCAGAAATTTGTGAGCTATGAAATATCAGTATATCCATTTCACAGAGAAAAACTGAGGCTTACACAGAGGTTCGGTCACACAGCTAAGCACACCGACCCTCTCTATATACATGCACAGCAGAACGAAACAGTGTCTGTTCATGCGCCATCCTCACAATTATTGTTACTCTTGAGCCTACTGCTGCCGCCACTGTGTCAATCCACACTCAGCTAAGTAGTGGTGGCCCCGATATTCGAGACCCCTGGGCTTCTTAAATACTGTCACTCCTTCGATGCAATGAGGTCTCCAACTCAAAGTCTACCCTAAGTCCACCCCCCTCATTTTCTCCCCAGGCTCACTTCACACACAACTTATGCAGTTGCAAGGTCTTCCCAAATAACTTGTGCCTTCTTTTCAAAACTCTTCCTTGCCCGCAAAAGCAATAGTCAAGCAACTTCTGACCCTGAATCTACTTCCCAAAAAACAAACCTAGAAATATTCCAACACTGCAAAACACAAACGGCAAAAAAACTTTAAAGTCCTATAGAGAAAGATGAGGCTTTCTGCTCCCGTAACGATTTACAGCCTCGGAAACCCTGTGCACGGTCAGAGTCGGAACTGACTCCAAGGTACTTAACAACAACATTCTTTCAAAAGGTCAGGCACTTAAGATAGGTATGCAGACAGACTCAGCCAGCCCTTCTTTCTGCGTACCTCTCCTCTCCCATCAGGCTCCCAACCAACCCTGAACTCCAACTCCACCCGATCGACCCTCTTCGTAGTTCCCTCCTTTCTCCCCGGAGACCGCGCCCGGGGCTCCCTTCACCTTGCACTCCAATTTCCAGGTAGGAAGTCCAACTCCGCCCCGAGCGACCCTAGGAAGGCCCCGATCCCAACGATGCTCCTCCGCAGGAGGGTTCACCCCACCTTACCCAGCAGGCACCACTCCCTTTGGCACCCCCTAGCTTTCCCCTCCAGCCCCACCCTCCCACCCCCTCCCCCGACTGAGACCCCCCCTCCCCCAAGTGGTCTCCTAGTCCCCGCCCCAGTCCAACCCTCTTCCCGGCAAGAAGCTGGACTCTGAGAACTAGTTCCCACCCTCACAGCGGTCCTTGCTCCCAAGCCTCCCTCCCTGTCCTGGGGGCGGGGGATAGTCCCAAGCCTCCAGATGGGCTGCAAGGACCTCGGCTGGTGAGTATGTGGAAAGTGTGGGGGGGGGGCGAGGGAAGGCAACGGGCTGCTCGGGAGTCTGCAGAAAGCCTGAGGAGCAGCTGAGTCCCGTTGCCCCACTCAGGGCCACCCCCAGCCCTCAACGACCTCGCTTGGTGGTTCCCACGGTACCTGTGGTGGAAGCGGCAGCGGCGGCGGCCGCTCTCCCCTCTCCTCACACAGGCAATATGGCGGCGGCGGAGGAGGAGACACACGGCTCGGCCGCCAGCCGCAGGGACCAGAGCGAGGCTGCAGCCGCCGCTGCCGGAAGCGGAAGTCCCCCTCCTACCAGGAGGTGGGGCGGGGCCACTTCCGACTCCGCCCCCAGCGGCATCTAGTCGACTGCAACCGTGGTGGGATGTGTTATTTCTTCCTTGGTGGTTCAGTTCTCTTTTAAGCCGTAAAATGGAAGCAGTTCTAGACATAAAGTATGATAAGGGGACTTGAAGTTTTTATTCTCATTTTATTTCAGTACTTGTAGGAACTGACGAGAGAGTAAACACGAACCTCCCACTAAGTGTACATTGGTTTGACCCAAGGCAAGATGGCGGTCCCTAGGTTTCCCGCACTTCACCCAGCTGTCAAGTCCCACCTACTTATAAACCAGCCCCGCCTTTGTTGTAAAGCAGCATGCGCGACCTGCAGAGCTGGAGAGCAAAGCATGCTGGAACTTGAAGTCTCTGCAGCTCGGGCAGCCTTGTCTAGGGTTTAGGGCTTCAGCGTGGGCTTCACGGTTTATCCTGCTCAAACTTAGAATACAGGAGCAATGAAGGAAAGTTGGATCCTGGGAGAGACTTGGCATTGGAGTCTGGGAAGTGACGATATTAGCCTTCTATGGACGATATTAATTCTTTAAGTAGGTCGGTTTGAACCGTAAAGTCGGCGGTTCAAACTCATAAGCCACCCCTCCAAAACCCTGTACTGGGCCGCTATGAGTAGGAATCAACTTGATGGCACTTAATAACAACAACAACAACAAAGTAGGTCTCTATCCGGAATAAAGTGCTATCTCCCGTTAATCAACATCCTCTCACCGCCTCAACATCCTCTCACCGCCCCAGGACAAACTCCCTGAAGGCGCTGCAGAACATTTTCTACCTGTAAATCTGATCATGGCATGCTTCTTACTGTTGAGTGCATTTTCAACTCATAGGGACCCCATATAACCGAATAAAACTACCCCACAGGGTTTTCTAGGCTGTAGTATTTGCTGGAGCAGTCTGCCAAGTCTTTTCTTCCTCAGAGCTGATGGGTGGGTTTGAACTTCCAACCTTTTGGTTATAGGTTGAGTGGTTAGCCATTGAGCCACCAGGACACACTCTACGTCAAGTATCTGCCAAGGCTCACTTTTGGCCACTAAAGATAGACCAAACTCATAGCCTTGGTATTCGAGGTCCTATATAATTTCATCAAAATCCGGCTTTCCAGCCTCTTGTCCTGCCTTCTCTATCCCCTGCTTAAATTCTTGATGTTTCCCACTAAAACTGCAAACTATTCCCTGAACTTAAGGTGTATTACCTTCTCTTTGCACGGACAGTTTCTTCTATTACTCAGAATACTTTCCTTACCCTCCTGGACTGCCAAGCTTCTTTATGTTCATTGTACTCATTTAAGGATCCTTTCCTCAGAAAATCTTCCCTGCTAAAGACTTGTGCATCACCACTCAAGCAACCTGACTGGTCCCACCAAGCTTCGAGCCCCCAGTGGACAGAAGTGGGTCTGATGGCCACCCTGCCTCCTGCAGGCTCTGCTAAAAGCTGAATTTATAGGTGGTGTTGTTATGTGCCGTGGAGTCGGTTACGACTCATAGCCACCCTGTACAGGGTTTCCAAGGCTGTAAATCTTCACCAGAGCAGAGCACCTCATCTTTCTCCCGCGGAACAGCTGGTAGTTTTGAACTGCTGACCTTGCGGTTCACAATCCGATTCGTAACCACTACACTACCAGAGCTCCTTGTGTATAGGTGTAGCTAAGAGAAATTCCAGTGTTAGCTTCACCTCAGGTGGCGCAGAGCTGTGAGGCTGGACCAAGTCTGAGGAGACTGAGTTATTTTGGTACTAGCCATTATCCCTAGGTGCCTTAGAATAGCTGTTGGGCCAGAGATGGGCTTTTACACCCTCTCCAGCCTTCCATGCAGTTTGTCAGCTGACTGGCACCTCTGCTTCCAAAAAGACAACCTTTCCCCTGTATGATGGAAGAGGGTTGCAGAATACATTAATATCCTCAAGGAGGTGGCTGTGGCCTTTTCTGGGCCTCATCCTGTCATACTGTTCTGTGCCATTGGAACACAATGGGCATGGAATCCATAGCTGTGGCTCTCCGGGTGCCCTCAGGTTGGCCCTTCCTCATTTCTTGCCCTCAGTTTCCACACTTGTGGACTGAGGAAGTTAGGCAAACCTATCCCAAGGTTTCTGTGAAAGACTCTTCAGAAAAATGACTGACCTTCCACTTATCTCTTAGTTTGTGTCCTTTCTGCTGTCAGGTTCTCCAGTGGTGCTATAACAGAAATACCATAAGTGAATGGTTTGAATAAATAGAAATTTATTCTCTCATAGTTTAGGAGACTGTAAGTCTGAATTCAGAGCATCATCTCTGGAGAAAGGTCCTTGTCTCTTTTTAGCATCTGTAGGCCCAGCATTCTTTGGAGATCTCCATGTGACTTGGCATCAATTTTCCCTGGATCTAAGACATTCACAGTGTACAGAGCCCCAGGTCCAAAGGACAACCTCTGACCCTTCTTTTGGATGGTAACAGGTCCCTCTTTCTCTGCTCAGGTCATACCCTTTCGTAACTGTCTTACATCAGATCAGGGTTGTGATGGGCTTAAGGGTATTAGTCCGTCCTTAATCTTCATAGTGGCTTATCACATCAGAGCACATCACTGGGAATGATCACATAACTGCCGCATTGCATCATTACGTAACTTCCAAACCACTGAGAAACATAACCCATTCAGATTGACACACACACACATATATATTGGGGAATTGTTGTTGTTAAGTGCTGTTAAGTAGGTTCCAACTCATAGTGACTCTGTATAGGGCTTCTAAGGAGCGGCT